GATTTCTTTGATCCATTAGGTGTTCAGGAAATTGTTTAATTTCCATGTATTTGTGAATTTTAAAATTTTCCTCCTGTTACTGATTCCTAGTTTTATAACATTGCAGTCAGAAAAGATGCTTGATAAAATTTCATTTTTCTTGAATTTGGTAAGACTTGTTTCGTCTATTTGCAATAACTATCACCATTAACAGTTTTTGTTGTTATTTTAACTTGCCTAGGTCTTGACTGTCTACATACGGCCTTCACGTCCTCTTTTTAATTTGAATCCTCACCACGGCCTATGAGATTTCTGCTCTCAGGAAAGGGCCATGATGCTGGATGCACTGTTGTAGATTTACTTATAAAATGGTTATCTTTGGACGATGTGCTTTAGAAGGGAGGATGCAAAAATGTTTTCTTGGGGTTACTAAGAGGTTGTCATTTTCCTTGACAAAGAAAAAAAAAGTATTTCTAATGGAAAAAGTCCAGATGATTTAGTCCAAGGATTGTCTTAGGCTTTATGAGCTTAGTTAAATGTTTCACTTTTTGGTTGCTACTCCATGCTTTGCGAAGACTAGTTCCCCAATCAGCCCACCACCCCTTGAAACACCTTCCCTGTGTCCCTGGGGCACCCCAATTCGTGCAAACTGGGTAATAGTAACGTATAGAATACTTATACAGAGCTTTTTCTTTACACATGCCCCATGTCAATCTGTTTCAGATCTGACAACAGTAAGCACCTCCCTATGAGACAGAACATTTCTTGGGGATTATTGTACTCCTCTGGATGGTTAGTCCATTAGTGTTTGGCATCTTGCCCCAATTCCACTGTGACCCTCTCCAGTTGCCCAGAAATGTACTGCACATCATACATATCCTATTGTTGGAGCACTTAAGACTCTTAAAATTCAAAATTCTACAGAAGCCAAAAGCTGTACTTCCAATCAGGCAGACAGCAAGCTCACCACACTGAAGAAAGTCTGGGGCCACTGGAGAGCTGTCTTATCCCCTCACTCCTGCCTTGAGGTGGAGAACTCCATGTAGCCAAACTTCTAGTTCCTTCCCCTCAGTAACTTCTGCTTCACAGGTTTTAGCCCAAAGCAAGGCTGCAATCCCAAAGCCACAGAACAACTGACTTTCTGCTAACGGGAAGCCTGAAGTGACTGAAGCAGCCTTTCCCTGCCCTCATTCCTAGAGGCACACACACCTCAACAATCACTAGGCTGGACAGCCCCCACCTCCCCAGTGAACCACTCCCCCCGAGTCACAGGGAAGAGGGAAGGTCAAAAGGGGGAGTGGGAAAGGAGTCGTCAGGATGAGAGGGATGGTTAACTGCGAGGGGCGGGGACAAGTAGCCCAGCAATTTTTGACTCCTCCCTTCCCATCTTGCCACACAGTCTTTTTCTTTTGTAGCATCGCCTCCATTAAGAACTTCTAGGCAGAGGAGTAAAGATATAAGCTCACTTGCCATAAGAGTTAGTTGGTTAATAGGCTGGCTCTCCAAGGCACCAACCACCCTAGATTTTCATCTAGGTTCACCGGAAGTTGGTTAAAATTTCCTCTCCATAGTCCTTCCCCTTTATTCCATTCCCCAAACACATCAAGCTCCCTTTGGATGCCTGGAGAGCTCATTTTCTTAGGGGACCCAGAGGTGTCTTTTCAGTACTATACCTTTCACTGTGGGTGCCTCTGTCACCTTGGGGCTACTTTGCTTAAATAGAAATGCAGACCTAGACATAACTGTGCCTTTTCAGTTCTGAGTGTAATGGCTGAGAAAAACCAATGGCTGCTTGGTTTTGCTGATGCCGGAATAATGTGATACCATACAACCACATGCTGGATTTTGCATTTTCTCTATAAAACATCTACTGTCCCTGATTCTGTATCTTTACCTTTTTGATGCTAGGTTTTTGATTGATTGGATTTTATTTCCTTTGTATTCCCATAATGAAAATTCATTTAGGTGGATGCCCTTTACCCAGGTAATTCTGGTAGATTAGCAGTTATACCTTTCTTCTCTCTCTTCTCAGTGTGGACTTCTATCAGGTTATTCTTATTCTGAGAACTCCCCATTATTGATTTTTTCCCCCACAGTTAACAACTCTGTTTTTAAATAGAGGTTTTTTAATGCCCAGAGGCACATTCTTAAAAATATTCAGCTTCTTTGATCTTTGCTATATGAAAACAAATACAACAGAACCTGTTCTGTAGTTTTTGTCACAGCAGGGAGGGAAATCAAATAGGATATTGACAATTCAGACCTGAAGGTTGTCAGAGAAGCAAAATGTTAAGAGGTAGTGCGGGGCATAAAGGGCCTCTACTCAGGTGTGCCTGACCAAGCTCATGGCATGCAGTGGGTATTTGTATGGGGGAGAGGTAGTACTGAAGAGAAGTTGTGTATATAAACACCTGCGGAGCAAAGAAAGAGACCAGTGGGAGCGTAGTACAGTGGGGGGTGAGTAGAGGGGGCAAGATGTTTCGTATTTGTACTCCAGCCTGGACCAGGGGCTAGATCCAAGTATTATAGCAAGATGGGCTATTAGAATAAGGCAGCTTCAGAAGCAAGGGGCCCACTATGCTCAGGTAACAAAGTGTAACACAGAGTGAAGAAGGGAAAGGGGTGGTCGACCAGATATTTAATCTGGCCTGCCTGTAACATCTGTAATATTTGCAGGGTTCAGAAGAAGAGTTCCGTTGGGAATCCACATAAGATCTATCTAAATATTTGAAATGTTTAAATCACCTAATAAACCATTAAATAAAACATGCTGGATCTCCTTCCAAGACAAATGTACTTTCATAATGACCTGAAAGGCCAGGTTGGGATTTCGAATTCTCCAACTTCTCTAAGTTCTGCTCCAATGCTGTGGGAACAGCTGCCCCCTCTCCCCTCCCCCTGCCTGTGCCCTGGCTCCTAGGCCAGGCCCCATCCCCTGTTCTGGGCATACAATCCCCCCTCCCCTAGGGCCTGGGAGCACATACCCAGGCAGTGCAGTCAGTCCTCCCCAGGAGAGCTCTAAGAGGAGCACACAGGCCCTGGAAGCAGGCTTGTGACGGTTCAGGGGTGCCAGGTACCTGGAGCATGGGCTAGCAGGGACACACCCCTTGTTCCCATGGGCTGGGTTCCTGGCCCTATAAGAAGGTATGGTTGGAAGAAGGCCAAAGTGGGATCTCTAAAAAACAGAGCTCAGGACAGAGGTCCCTCTTGCCTGGGCCTAGAAGCAATACTATATTTACAACTAGCACGGCATAAACACTAACAAATCAGAGCCAGTTTGAAGGTCCTCAAATCATACTACTTGGCCTGCCCTTTCAGTTTGTGTGTGTGTGTAAGGAGGCCAGGAGACAAGCCCATGGGAACAAAAGTGTACCCCAGGCAGACCATATTTCAGGTACCTAGGAAGCCTTAACTAACTGCAGAAATGAGGCTGTCTGGTCTCAAATCCCCAGGCCCTTCCCCTTCTCTGATCCTCTACTCTGGTCATCTACAACTTTATCTTTCTATTTCCTTAAACAGAGTTCAGAGATTAAGTCCATTTTCTCCCTTTCCTCTTTTTATTTTTACTCATTATTTATTGAAATACTTCAGATCTACACAAAATTATAAAGAATACTACTGTAAATGTCTATTTACCCACAACCCAGCTTAAGAAATGTAACATTACAAATATAGTTGAAGCCCCCTGCGAAGCCCTTCCCAATAGAATTCCCCTCCCTTTCTTTTCTCAAGAGGTAACCAATATCCTAAATGTGGTGTTTATCTTTCCATTGCATGCCCTTCTGTATGCTACATTTGTATACATCTTTCACATGCATTGCCTTTTACTCTCTGTATGTATCCACAATCAGTATATGGTGATTGAATGTTTTCTTAGACTTCATATCATGTTTGCATCCTTCTGGAACCAGCTTTTTCCCTTATGCATTTTTTTCCTGCCATCACCCATTCTTAGCCTCTCTGTGTCTCAGCCCCTGTGAGTTCTAATCTCCTCCCCAGTCCAGCCCTTGCCATCCTGTTTAGTTTACCTGTAACAGTCCCAAGCCAGTGAACGAAGGCTGGTCCCACCACGGGTGGGTCTCAGCTTCTCCCCGTGTGGCTCTAAACCAGTGCTTCTCAAACCGTAGCTGCATCAGAGTCCCCTGGAGGGCTTGTTACAATACAGGCTGCTGGGCCCCACTCCCAGAGTTTCTGATTCGCAGGTCTTGGGTGGAGCCTAAGGATTCCTGGGTGATGCCGATAATGCTATTTTAAGGACCAAACTTTGAGAACCAGTTTTCCAAATTAGTGTCTGGGCTCAGGCTCTGCAGCACCATCTGGCCTCCAGGCAATCTGGGCCATCCATCAGGTTTCCTTCAAAAGCTCACAGCAGTACTATGAAATACACATATAACACAAGTCATGTGTAATTTTAAATGTTCTAGTAGCCACATTAAAAAAGTAAAAAGAAACCGGAGGAAGTAATTTTAATGTTATATTTAACACTATATTATCATTTCAATGTGTAGTTATTAATGAGACTTTACAGTATTTTTTACACTTACAGCACATCTCAACTCAGACTAGCCACATTTTGAATGCTCAGCAGCCACATGTGGCTAGTGACTACTGTAGTAAACAGCACAACACTAAAGGCTCGACCTCCATTTCTGTCTTCACAAAAATTGTTTTAAACTTGAAATTTTAATTTATTTTGGGCTGCAATAAAAGAATTTCAAACAGGCTTACCAAATGGTAGAAAGTGATGCCTTTCAATGAAGGTAAAATTGGTCAAAGATAAAAGAGATTCGAATCAGGATTATTTATGTAAATAAAATCTGCCTACATTTCAGTTTATTAACTTAAAACAAACATATCTGACAGCATTTGTTCTAGTTAAAAATAACTGTAAGAGAAAAAACTCATATATGTTATTGGATATCGCTTTTTGGGTGATGAATTTTGGAATGGAATCAGTGTTAATAACATTCCCACGGGCTTCGAAAAAATGAAAAACCTAAAAATCGTGAAAAACAGATCCTTTATTCTTTCTTCATCTTCTTTCCATTCCTCCCAACTGCAGGATGAAATGAGAGAAAATTAACAATTATACAGCACTAACCAGCACCAGAGACTTTCTAAATCTAAGAAAATGGTCAGCCCTTTGGGTATGTGCTGCATTTGAGGGCTCTATCTAAACAAGTAAAGAAGAACAACACGTTTTCCTCTTGTAACCTGCACCTTGGATACAGGGTGCTTGTACAACCGATGGCTTCAATCATGTGATCATACCAACCTTGTCTCCCTCTTGTCCAACACCATAAATGCTTTTTTCCCCCTTGAGAGGTGATTCTGGGATTTAAATCACTCTCTCCACCTTAAAAGCCTATGCTCATTCCACAAATGATACTCCCTTACTCTCCCAGACCTTCAGTTTCTATATCTACCATATGAGAAAGAGGCTATTGCCATGAAATACACAGCTGTGAAAATGCAGAAAAAATGTTAATCACTTAAATATACTCAAAGACAAGATACACCTTAAGACTTCATTACCAATTCAGTGATAAACAAGAGTCATACTGTGACTAAATTGCTCTTCTTTTGACTGTCACATAAAATACAAAAATCTACAACCGAACAAATCGTTAGGTATTAATCACTAAATGTGGTCCTACCTGAAATTCTGAACGTTTTGCTATCTGTAAGTAGTCAGATTCTAAAAGTCGTCATCTCTTAGTACAGGAGACTGCACTTCTGTGGCCAAGTAATGAAGGCCCCACTAGTGCCCAGCCCAGCTACTTTTGCTGCTGCTGATTTATATTACTAGGTGCATGAATGTTCTATTAACATTCTGAGTAGGTAAATTTGAATTGTTAAACTAATTTTAAACAAATTTTTTCTCAATTCACTGGGAGAATTAAAAAACGAAAACAAAATTGGTAAGTGCCTGGGAGCCGCTGGGTTATTTTCAAAGCTATACACAGCTACCTGGACTTTCTGGGTCTGTCCTGCTGGGTTCAGGTTCTTTTTGTTAAACTTCTCTTTCCCCCTCACTTTCAGCACCTCGGGCCTCTTCATTGGCGTTTTCATCCTGGTATTAAATTGTTTCTTTAGTGAATAATACAGACTTTGGGACAAGACATTCACAGAAAAAAAAATCCCAATTCAAAAGACTACTCTACCCTTAGGAGACGCAGAAGGATAGGAGCAACTAAGAAAACAGTAGCTGGGTACCTTCCTTCTGGTTGCTGTAACACTTCCATGGCCCTCACTTTTCTCATGCTTGATCATTTTCACAGTGACATTATTTCTCTTTTTCCAGTAAATCTGTCACCCTGTGCTACTAATTACTTCTGGCCCTTTAGGGAATGGATCAGAATCGTCGGGGTCTGATGCATTCTGTATGTTTTGGTCAGAACTCTGTTGCAAAAATGTGTTTTGCCTCGATGACAAAAATCTGTGGTGAAGCTCATTGGTTCCTCACCCCCCTGAATATTTCACCGTGACCAAGTGCTCCCGTATCAGCTCATAATGTATTGGGATCAACTTTCTAAGAATCTTGACATTTTTAAAAGCCAGGATCCAAAAGCCGTTTGCTTGTTCTTTTCTCTTCCATCTCCTCCCAAGCTCCCTCCCGAACACCTGCCTCCACTGACCTTCACCTGTGGCCTCATAAATGGCACCGATCATCTCAGACCTCTTACCAGGGGTTGGCAGAGGGCAGCTTATTTCCCCCCTCCAAAACTGGAGCGGTCGTTATGGAGGTGGGCTTCTACTGGGCCCCTCTGGCCTTCAGCTCCTGGAGGCCCCAACTCCCGGCTTCACCTCCCGAGGCCCCCCTCTGAGCCTGGGTCCCTCGCTACCCGTGTCTCCCGACCGACCCGCCCGCCAGCCGCTCACCCTCAGGGGTGCTGAGCTCCTCGGGTTCCTGGGCTGCAGGCCCCGCCCATCGGGCGCCTGGGGTTCGGGGAGCCTGGCCAAGGCTTCGCGCTCGCTCGGCGGGGGCGGGACGAACACGTGGTTGTTGTAGGGGACGCGGGGCAGCAGTAAGTACGCCAGCTCCAGGAGCACGAAGTGGAAGCTCGCCGCGGGGAACTGGTGCACTTCTAACACGAGGTTCTGGCCCCCTGCCGCCGCCGCCGCCTCCTCCTCTTCCTCCTCCTCTTCCTCCTCCTCCTCCTCCTCTGCCGGCCTGATGTCCGAGTCCTCCTCAGCGCCCCCGCCTTCCAGGGCCGCCTCCCCAGCGCCTCCCCAAGCACCCGGCGCCGCGTCGCCCCTGCGAAGCTCCGAGTCGCGGTCCACCTGGTCGCCGGCTCTGGCCGCCTCGGTCTGGGCCCCAGCTGCGCCTGCGGGGCCCTCTGGGCCTCCCGGGCCCGGGTCTCCATCCCCCGTGGCCGACATGGCACCGAGCAGTTACCTCTACCAGGCGGGCGTCGATTGCGCAGGCGGTGGCCGCTGAGGTGGCTGCCCTGACGGGAGGCTGAGGGCTGTGGCTGCCGGACGGGGAGGCCGCTGAGGGGACAACAGAGGAGGCCCCACGACAGGGAGGGCAGGGGGCCGACACCGGGAGTGGCCCACTGAGGCCGGGCCTCAGATAGCACTAGGCCAGACCATGAGGGAAAGATTCTTCTAGGCCACAGGCGGGGGGCGGGGCCGGAAGAGTAGACAGTGGGCCATGCCCCCTCGTCTCGAGCTCCAAGCTTATTTGCTGACAAGCGAGGATTGACGTGCCCTGTGCCCAGTGAACGACCAAGGCCCTTCGGTTGTAGGATTGCTCACAGTTGCCTCCCTGTTCTTTGGCGCCTCAGGTTTTACCCTATGTTCAGGTTCACAAGGCTCCTGTCCTTTTAATTTTATGATTGTCCAAAAAATTATTTATGGAGGCACCCTCGGCCATGTGAACTGTGAGGAGTTCCCATCTGGGAATTTCCACCTGGTAATGGCTCATGTGAGTAGGGACAGGGTCATAAAAATGTTGTATAGCTCAGACGTTAGCAGTAGTAGAAACCTCCCAAGAAGAGAAAGAGAAGAGTTTGGACGATTTAACGTAAAGATACTTGGAAAAGAGTAGTCAAAATTGAAATGGATGCAGTCAGAACTGAGTATTGAAGAAATGGTAAACGTAAGGAGCTGGAAGGTGTGTAGTGAACCCAGACAAATTCACTTAAAGCCTCTAAAGACTGAATAAAAAAAAGGATGCTTCTTTTAAAGGACTAGGTCATCTCCTAAGAGCTAAGCATGACAATCATTAAAAGAACAGGCTCCCTAGGATGGTTCTGAGGCAACAGTCCAAGACTTTTTATTGATTTCAGGATCCACGTAATCAAGACGTCAAGTGTAAGTAATTCTGAAAGTTATGGAGAAATTAACTGCTATTTTATACTCATTCTGTAAAAAAAAAAATTTGTAACACTAAAAATAGTTTTTGGAAAAAAACATTGCAAATAATATCTGGATGTTATATTTATGGAAAATAATACTAATCTCATAATGGTAAAGAGGGATTTTTTTCCTTTCACCAAAAGGAAAACCAAATTTGAAATGTTTTTTTCCCTCTGTCTCACCACAAGAATGGAGCATGGTGTTGCCATAAATCATTGGTTTAAATTTGGAAGGCAATGTCAAAAATCTGTAGTCCAAAATCCTCACTATAAAGACAGCAAAAATGAGGCAGAATCCCAATCTGAGGTCTAGAGTTGGTTTTAACATTTGCCCCCCGATGTGATCTTGGAACAGTTACTTATCATTTCTAGGCCTCAGTTTTATCATCTGTATAGTTAGAGTTCATCCCCTACCTTTAGTCAAGGTTTGTTAGATAGACGGAATGAGATGGGATTATATAATATTTAGGATATTAACCATTTGTTGAAAATGTTTTCTTAGTTTGATTTTGCTTTCTAAGTTGGTTAATATTTCTAAGTATGTAGTTTTTCATTTTCATGTTGTAAAATGTAATATTTCTTTTTCTTCATTTTAACATCATAAGTTTACAAATCTTTTCTCATCCAGAGATAAATTTTATACTTTCTTCTTTTTGGAAGTCTCCTGAATGTTTACATTATACTCCTTAATCCATTTGGAATTAATAGTGACACGTGGTGTTAAGATTAAAATCTTAGTTGATTTTTAAACAGGTCACCTATAACACCATATGTTATGTAATTATTCCGCTCTATAAGGATGTGTGGCTATGTACCCTTTAGCGCTTTCTATAAAGGTAGAAGAGATGCAAGAGAAACGCATATTCTCCCATAATTTCAGAGCTGGAAACGCCTTTAGATATTGAATCTAAGACTATTTTTTATTTTAAAAATTTTATTATTTAATTTTATTTTTTTAACATCTTTATTGGAGTATAATTGCTTTACAGTGGTGTGTTAGTTTCTGCTTTATAACAAAGTGAATCAGCTATACATGTACATATATCCCCATATCTCCTCCCTCTTGCGTCCCCCTCCCACCCTCCCTATCCCACCCCTCTAGGTGGTCACAAAGCACCAAGCTGATCTCCCTGTGCTCTACAGCTGCTTCCCACTAGCCATCTATTTTACATTTAAGACCACTCTTTCCACTCTTTTTTTTTTTTGCGGTACGTGGGCCTCTCACTGTTGTGGCCTCTCCCGTTGCGGAGCACAGGCTCCGGACGCACAGGCTCAGCGGCCATGGCTCACGGGCCTAGCCGCTCTGCGGCATGTGGGATCTTCCTGGACCGGGGCACGAACCCGCGTCCCCTGCATCGGCAGGCAGACTCTCAACCACTGTGCCACCAGGGAAGCCCTCCACTCTTTTTTAAACTGGGAAACTAAGGCCTAGAGCTGCTAACTGGCTTCCCCAAGGCCATGCCACTTAATGGAGGAGCCAGGACTAGGACCAATCTCCTGACCTTTAATCTGAAGTTGAAACAGACCTTATATAGGCAACTTTGGCCATCTTATTTCCTACTGGACATAAACAATATCATAGGACACCAACATCAGACATGGTCATTCCAAGACCATGTTGAAAGGAGACAAAACAAGGCAACTTTAATTTTGTTTAAGCAGGGACAAAAAGAAGGTCACACATTACTAAAAATCCCCCTCTCTTGGCTAAAATGAGTGTCTACCACTTCTTTACCAATTACATCCTTATCCTGGTTCTAGTCTCCTCTCCCTATAGATAAGATTTATTCAAATACCAATCACAGAATTGCCCCTGCTATCTAAAGGCATCTAATCTAGAGCAAACCCGTTTCCTTGAAAACTTCCCAAAATAACTCAACCAAACCCCAACTCCTATAACAGGTTCTTTCTGACAGTTGTTATCGAGACATCACATGGTTCCCCCGTGGTGTGTGTTCTCCCTCACTGCAATGAATAATAAACCCAACTCGCTCAACTGCAGGCATGTTCTTGTGATCTTTGGCTGGAGGACACTGACAATGTAAAATATTCCCATCTTTACATTGTAATATATTGACTCAACCAAGTGAGTCAGGAGGCATTGCAATTTGTAGGCTTTTCTCAGAAAAGGCTTCTCAGAGGAGGGAGGACTTGGACTCAAAAGCTGGGCAACATGTCCTAACTGAGGACAGTAGATGCTGGATGTTGTCTCCATGTGGGCCTTGTTAAAATGGGCTCATAACCCCAGCGGGTCCCTGGCTGTAAAAAAGCCTGAGCCTTGGGGTAGGCTAAGGAAACAGATGTTGCTTCTGGCCAGAGGGCAGACCTGGGTGATGTGATGGAGGTTCCTGTGGTGAGGAAGGTGCCTAATAGGGCACCCCCATTTCCTACTGCATGCTGTGACAGGGCTGCCTCAACTCTTCCTTAGCAGAAGCACATGCTCCTGGGTAGATGGGTTTTTTCCACCTATGAAAGCAGAGTATTTCTGCTTTCTTCACCTCCTCCTATCTCTGTACATTCTTTTTTCAGAACTCTCAACAGGACCATCACTATTCACTTTAGAGGAGCTAGCATGTTACAAAACAAACAAAAAATGAAAACAAAACAAATCATACAAGTGTCTTTCCAGGTCATGAAAAACTGGGCTGTCCACTTGAAGCTATAGGACAGACACTCCAGACCCTACTTATAAGCATTCATAGAGAACATATTAAGCACCTACTATCTGCCTGGAATTATGTTAGGGCTTGGGGGCTCACAGGTATCTAAGAACCATGGCCTGTTCTGGTTCATGATCTAGAGGGTTTGACAGACACTTGGACAATGATGACACAAGCTGTCAAGTGCTATAACAGGGGTAAGCACAAAGTGCTAAGGAAGCATGGGAGAGTGAATGATTAGCTGGGGCTGGTGGGTGGCGGGGAGGAGAGGTGAAGGAGGTGGGCTGGTGCCTGGGAAAGTGCTCAAGAGGGGGCATTTCAGGAGGTCCTGAAGCTAGAAGTTCAAATGGCAGTAAAAAGGGGTGGGAGGGAGGTTACTACAGGCAAAGGAAGCAGCATGAACAGTGGCAGAGGTGTGTGAGTGTGTACCTGTCCAGGGAATAAAATGGCAGGAGCACTGGTTAGAGTGGCAGAAGGGCCTTTAAAGTAGAAAGGGCCATGAATGCTTTGGTAAGGAGTTTACCCTTTGTCCTGAAAAGTAGGTCGGCCTCCCAAACAAACAACCATTGAGATGGTGGTAGAGTTAGCAGAAGAGTTTGTGGTGCATGTAGGAATGAGTAGAGTCAAGAAAAGGTCTGCTAAGGCCCTCCAAGGTCTTTCCAGCAAGTTTTAGTATCCACACTTTTCCTCTTTATAGAAATACTACATATTTTTTGTAGAACAGATTAATAAAACAGATAAGCCTAAACAGGGAATCAAAAATCATACATATCTTGCCCATACAAATGAATAAGATAATAAGTCAATAGGAAAATAAGCAAAGGACATGGATACATAAATCACAGACAACTACAAATGGTTTTTAAACATATGGACAAATGGCTTTTGAACATATGGACATATGCTCAAACTCAATGTAAGTTAAAATTATATTAATCATTAGCATTTATTAAATACTTATAGGTTGGGCACTATTTTAAACATTGACATAGATTAGTTTATTTACTCCTTGTAACAACCTTATGATGTGAGCACTATTAATTATCCATCTTTTGCAAGTAAGTAAACCAAAACATGGAGAGGTTTAGCAACATTCCCAAGGCTACACAGCCAGTAAGGAGCACAGCCTGAATTAAGAAAATAAAAATCACCCTTAATTTCACTAACCAGAAATGATCACTCTGCTACTTAGTATATAGTTCAGTTTCATTTTTCCAGGTTGGTAAGAAACTGTAATTCTTTTTTTTTTTTTTAAGTGTTAATTTAGGGCCATTTTAGTTTTGTTTTGTTGTTAATATTTATTTATTTATTTATTTGGTTGCACCAAGTCTTAGTTGCGGCAGGTGGGCTCCTTAGCTGT